AGCTGAATGCTTATACGTGGCAGCACAATGTAAGGCCCGTTGACAAGATGCCACACAGGGCAATCCCTATATTAAGTCAACCTGGGGCAGTTGCCTCAGATGTCATCTCATGGGGTAGCGGCAGGCAGAGTAGCATGGCCACGGTGCTGCACAATGTTTCTTTTCCAGACAGAGTGCCCCAGGTTGCTAAGAGCTTGGCGGGGAGGTGTGTAAGGGCCATACAGATCTGTCTGTCCAGCTCTTAGCAACCTGGGATGTTCCGTCCCGGCTGCCCGCTGAGCTCCTGGCAACCAGAAATGTCACTGGTTGCCAGGAGCTCGGTGGGACGCATAGCTGCACCCCCCCATCCCAATGCAATATGTAAGTCTGGCTGTTTTTAAGAAGTTAACAAGCATATTACATACCTGTTGTGGTCATTATGAGGGGTTCCCACTCTTCCTGCTAGATTTCTTATTTCTGTTATATTATCAGAATGTAGCAAGAGGAGATGGAACACGTGATGATTGGTTGGAACACCCAAAACTCCCAGGTGGACAGAAAAAGGAGTTGGGAAGTATGGCAGGGAGATCCTGCTGTATGAACATCCAAAATATATCAGAAACAAAGAGCTCACAATGAGCTCACAAAGCTCCACATATAGCTAAAATATCACTTTGGGATGCATTGGTCCTTTACGTTATGGAACTGGTTTCAAACTGCTTTTAATCAATTTGTGAAAAAGTACCAAACTGAAAGTGTGATCACTATTGAGTAATTGTTCCATGCAGTCAATGTTTCTGTCTCGTATATGGCTTTAGATTCACATGCCTATTTTTCTCCCACTGTCTTATTTTTCTGAGTCTGGCTCTCGCAGTTCTGAGCCCCCACCTTCTATTTCTATGCCGCTCTTTCTGACTAATCTGACTCCTATTCTATAGAATTTCTACAGTGGAGCGTTCTCCTGAGCAGCTCTTTTGTGTTTTGTCTCTTGTGGAGTATTTTCCACTCATTGCTTTCCTGTCTGTTCTTTCCAGTTCTTGACTTTATACATAGCTGAAACTAATGTTGATTTATTACAATTTGTGGGAATAAAAAGCCAATTAGCTGCTTATTGTTGCACTATTGTAATAAGAGTTTAGAGAATCAGCATTCAAAAATCAAAAACAGAACTTTACATACAGCTATGGCTTTGGAAAAATTATTGTGACATTTTAGAGGGAAAAGAATGAAAGAAAAGAGAATTTGTTTACCAGAAATTTTACTGATTGGTTCGACTTGTAAGTCGAGCTCAAATTGACCCTGTATAGCAGTTATACCCAATGCATGTGGTTTAGACATCTTGGTCATCTGTACGGATGAGCTTCAGGTTTGGGTTGACCATGACTTCAGAACCCAAGCTGTTCACAGTTCAATGAATGGGCGAACGATTTGGCCAGTTGCCCGCCCATGAAACCTCTGTCTGTATCCTAGCAACCAAAGATGCCCTGCTGCCCAGTGCCTTCGGTTGCTAGGACAATAGCGAATGGGCTGCAAAGCATCATTGGTTGCTGGGATGCAGGTAGGTGCACCATACCAATCTGTGATACCTTGGGGCTGTCAGCATCTTAGCAACCAATGACGCTGTGTGGGTCACCTCTGGGCATCATTGGTTGCTAGGACACAGGAGGCCCTGAGTACGACTTGCCCAGATGTTTGCCAAACCCAGAATTCTGACTGGGTTCGGGGAACGTACAAGCAAACCCAACCCAGCAGAAAAAGCACGAAAGATGAAGAAAACAGGATCTTTCAAAAACACACAGCACTCTTCTGTAACACAACACACTGAGGTGAAGAACACAACTTTCATGCAGAAGATTATAACAGGAACTATTTTCTCTATTCTTTTGGGGGACTGTGAACATGATTCACATAATTTTTTACCATCAGTACAAATGGTCATCTCATATAAGCATATTGTCATACTATTCTAAGCAGAATTAGGACCAGTACAATGAGACAATGCATAAAAAGAGGGGATCCTAACAGAGGGTTGTCCTGCTGGGTGCCAGAGGCTCTCTCTCTACCTGTGCTGGTGAAGGAAACGTAGTTATATTATCCTGTGTTAACTGTAATCCGTAGTGCTTTGAATGTCTAATGAGGGAACAGAATGCTATGTATTCCTGCTATAGGTAGGAATAAATAAAAAGCCCAATTCCACCTATACGTGACCCTATCTCCCTTCCCACCAGCACATTTCCATACCAGTGAGCGGTTCCCTTTATTCTGCTTTTTTAATGCAGGGTGTGCTTTTTTATGCAAGGTCTTCATCAGTTTAATGATTGTTTGGCTATGGCTAGGGGGGAAAAGGAATACGTACAAACTAGGGATGCACCGTTACTTTTCGACTACCAGTGCAGATACTTGGGATTTTCATGAGAACTACCAGGGTGGCAGCGGTTGCAGCTGGGACCTGGCTCTGGCGCTCCACCACTGTCCTGAAATCATTAGTCTGTATTGTTTTAGAAAAACTGTCACATGACAATAAACAAAAATTTATCAGTATTCGTACTTGTAAGTACTCGGCAAGTACCAGTACTCGTACTCGCAAAACTGGTGCATCACTTTATTTATAAAAACAAAATCATACAGTAAAACAGAGATGTACAAATCCCAGGAGCTCCGTGTGCTCCTTACAAATGACAGCTGCCTCCTAACTTTTGAATTTTTCTCTAGTGTAGTCTTGGAGCTCAAAAGTATCGGTACATGTACTTGTACTTGTACCGAGTACTGTACTTGGTATCTGTGCAACCCTAGTACAAACACTTAACTTAGTCCTCACTACCTTGGCAGTTGGTGCTCTTCTGTGCTGTGCAATGCTCCGGAATGTGGGAGGACCCTTACCATCATCGCATACAATACAGGACTGCTGGTCCTGCATTGTACATGATGACATCAGAGAACTGCGACCCGCTGGGCAGTGAAGTAAGGCACCTACGGGGGACTGGTTGCACGAAGAGGAAGTAGCCAGATGGAGCGAGGAATCAGGTTAGTATTTGTTCCTTTCCCACTTTAGTCAAGCGAGCATTAACCAATGCAGCGCGTACACCTGGCTGATACTATGTCAACTCTACGTACTTACACTGGTTGCATTTGAAGAATAATACATCTAAAGATGTAATAATGAATACAGAGCTGCAATAATGTGTGTCTATTATGCCTGCCTGGAGTTTAGCTTTAAAATATTAGCTTAGTCAGAAAAATGTATAAAGGTGTTATACATGAATGTTTCAAGAATTTATGGTACTGATTTTAATAAAATGTCAACATTTTGCACTATTTAAAAGTTTTTATAATGTATATAATATATAAATATCTTTATTTTACAGCTAAAGAATAACTATATAGATATTATAAATTATATGCCAATAAATGATGGTCCGGTTTAATGCATATTGGGTATGCACAATATACACCTCTTACGTTTATTGAGTTTAATGTAATAGCTTAGGAGTAGGGATGCACCGATATCGGTTTTTCGGTATCGGGTACGAGTACCGATATTTCTTTCCCGTACTCACCGATACCATATACTGATACCGGGTATACTGAGGTACCATGGGCCCGGATTATCAGGAAGCAGGGTGGCAGGTCATGACCGGCCACCCGGCTTCCTGATTGCCTGGGAAGCCGGTGTTCTATCGAAAGAACACTGGTTTCACTTCCTGAGGATGCCTGGCTTCCTGTCATGAGGTGCTGCCTGGCTTCACTTGTTGCTATTCAGCCTAGCTTCCTGACCAATCAGGGAGCCGGGCGTGATGGGACATGACGTGCCATCTGGCTTCCTGATTGGTCAGGAAGCCAGGCTGCTTAGCGAAAAGTAAAGCCGGCTTCCTAGCCAACCAGGAAGCCAGGAGGCAGTTCATGATGTGCCGCCCGGCTACCTGATTGGTCAGGAAGCCAGGCTGCCTAGTGACAAGTGAAGTGAGCTTCCTAGCCAATCAGGATCCCACCGCACAGCTTCCTGATTGGCCGGGAAGCATGCTCCTTCTGACCAGCAGAAGTTTCGGTATCAGGGTAAGTATCGGAGCATTTGGGTGAGTACGGGTACTCGCCCAAATACTCAGTATCGGCACCGATACCAGTATCGGTATCAGTGCATCCTTATTTGGGACTGTTGAGCTACCCAAATTAGAATATAGTGGCTATTTGGGGTCTTCCAAAAACAACATAAACTTTCTCTTTTTGTAAATGTAAAAGTGAACCTGTGCCCAGACTATGCTCAATAAAACATTTACATGACCTGAACATAAAGTGAAAGCAAGTAGTAAAACAAGCTCTCATTCACCTCTGTGGCTATAAACATTGTGGAGAAATTCATACTCAAATGTCACAACAGAATCACTGAAATCATTTCTTATTATTTTCTATTGCAGAATCTTGATACTTTAAAAACATAAACACACAGCAGGTGTTTCTAAGCTGTTTGAAACTGACTGAAACTTGATTGAGTCTTTGATGTGATCTTTAAAGTGACACTAAACTCAGTGTTACTTTAAAGATAGGGAACATGGGGAACAAAAGTAGCCACCATCCAGAAGGAAGGACAGTGTCAGCACCAATTCAGAGATGATTTGAGGATCTACAGCCGAATGAAACACAAATAAGATACATTTTTTGTTAATAGGTACGGTACTGGAATGCATTTTTAAGATTTCACTCTTGAGTTTAGTGTCACTTTAAGGGCTGATTTACTAGAGAAGTCGAAATTTTCCACTCGAAAAATTGGGTAAACATTTACGTAAATTGCCCAGTCTGCACATGGCTGAGTACAGGAATTTGTGAGGAATATTCTCAACTCCTTTAGTAAATCAACCCCACTGTATTCCATGGTGTTCCAAGACAGCACTATGCATGTCCAGTTAGGGTTCAAAGAGGTTAATTTACTAAAGGCAAATAGGCTGTTCACTTTGCAAGAGAATTTTACATTAGTATAAGAGGTGAAAATTCAAGAAATTATTTTTAAGGGTTTCTGCAAGTCTTACCTTTCTGACGTCCATGATGTCCAGCACAGATCTCTTCCCTCCGATCGGACAGTTTTGGATGTAGCATGCTGAAGAAAGGGCTAACAGGCAGAAGAAGCTGACAGCCAGGGAGCTATAAGTCATGGCGATCATGTTGCCAGTGTCAAGAATATTGACTGTATTAGAAAGTTCCTCTTCCACCTGGTTGTACAGCCCTTCCTTTATATCCCCCCGCAACTCCTCCCAGCCACCCCCGTCCCCCTCCACGTTGTGGACTCTGTTGTGAGAGGAGCACATTGGCTGTGACGCTAAATTCCTCCATTATTAACCCAAGGTTGAGTATGTGAGGTTTCCAAAGAACACATCATTTTGTCTGAAGATTTCTGAAACGTGTTAAGAAATAATGCAAGGCTGTGTAAGACATTCCTTTTAATTGTCACCATCCTCAAGGTCAGCCGGCGGTGGACAGGCATGTTATGAGCTGTCACAACCTTCTTAAGTTTTATAATAGGCAAATGGTTGCGCTTCTTCCGAATATAGAAAGCGGGCGGATTAAATATTCTTCATTTCACGAAGAAATCATGTTTTTCCCTCCTAAATTTAATATAGTGTGCAGAAAATGGGATTCAAGGAAATGACTCAGATGTTATGTCAAGACATCTGAGAGACACAAAGCTTACATTACATGTATAGTCATGGGTGGAAAGATGGATAGATAGATAGATAGATAGATAGATAGATAGATAGATAGATAGATAGATAGATAGATAAGAGAGGGTTGGATAGATAGATGTATAGATGTATAGATAGAATGATAGATAGACAAATAGATCTATAGATATGGTTGGATAGCGAGAGAAAGAGAGATATGAGAGAGATAGGTAGATAGATAGATAGATAGATAGATAGATAGATAGATAGATAGATAGATAGATAGATAGAAGAGAGTTGGATAGATGGATAGATAGATAGATAGATAGATAGATAGATAGATAGATGAGAGAGATAGATAGATAGATAGATAGATAGATAGATAGATAGATAGATATTTTACATATTTATCCCCTTGTTTATCAAGTTCTTTTTTGGCTCTCCTGGTCATTTGTAGTATATAGATATAGAAAGACAATAGATAGAAAATTCCATTTATAGATAGCTAAACAATTGATAGATAGTAAAATATAGATTCTGAGGTGATAGTTAGATAAATAATACAGATAGATAGATAGATAGATAGATAGATGAGAGAGAGAGATAGATAGATAGATAGATAGATAGATAGATAGATAGATAGATAGATAGATAGATAGATAGATAGATAGATAGACAATTAGATAATAGATAGAAAAGTGATAGTAAAATATTTTACATATGTATCCCCTTGTTCATCAAGTTCCTATTTGGCTCTCCTGGTCATTTGTAGTATATCTCTCCTGGGTCTACATCGGAATTGATTCCAGTGATGACCTTTCACCATTGCTGATATAAGACTTCATTGAAGAACCGATAAGGAGGTGGGGCACAGGGGTGATGATCTATATTCTGTGCTGGTCACCTGACCCTGGGATTATCGGGTGTTCCTAGACACTGGGTCCCAGTAGAGGTGGTGGAGATGGAAAGTGAACAGGTAATTAGTAAACTGTTGATGTTTGTAGCTGGAAGGTTCTATGTCCCGGAAGTGAGCTGCACTCTTTCTTCCTTCACATGTCTGATCAGGTCTGTCATATAACAACATGGAGCCCATTACATTAGTTCTTGGTATTGGGATTTTGGAACCCAACACAGTATAACTGTCCCTAACTGTAAAGCATAGCCTAAAACTTGAAGTGACCTTCTTCCCAACCTCAAATTCTAAAAACAAAACAACTTCCTGTAAAGAAGACTGTAAACGCTTACCTCTCCTGCTGCCTGCGTACCCGAACACCGCGCCATTAAAGAGTGATCACCGGGTAAAGTGTCTTCTGAAACCAGCATTTCCAGGACTGTTGATCTCACATGCAACTGTTGTTTGAATGGGGCAAAACGGAATGTTCTCAGTGTATTTTCTATTCCGGTTGATAGACAATTAGATAATAGATAGAAAAGTGATAGTAAAATATTTTACATATGATATTAAAGTCAAGGCTGTTTATTGACTGAGATAACACACATCTCCTTAGCATAAGGAGATGTGTGTTATCTCAGTCAATAAACAGCCTTGACTTTAATATCATGGAGTGCGAGTGACTACTTTCATCTATGAACACACAGTGAATCGCAGTTTGTTGAATATGGGGGTTTGTAGCCGTAGACCAGTTAGGGTGCCCTTGCTGACTCGTGTCCACCACCAAAAGTGCCTACAATGGGCACATGAGCATCAGAATTAGAGCACAGATCAATGGAAGAAGGCAGCCTGGTTTGATGAATAGCATTTACTTTTACATCATGTGGATGGCCGGGTGCGTGTGTGTTGCTTATCTGGAGAAAAGATGGCACCAGGATGCATTAGGGTGAGAAGGGAAGCCAGCAGAGGCAGTGTGTTGCTTTGGGCAATGTTCTGCTGGGAAACCTTGGGTCCTTCTATACAAGTGGATGTTACTTTGACCCGTACCACCTACCTACACTAAATTGTTGCTGACCAAGTACACCACTTCATGGAAACGGTATTCTCTGATGGCAGTGGCCTCTTTCAGCAGGATAATGCACCCTGCCACACTGCAAGAATGGTTCAAGAATGGTTTTAGGAACACAACAATGAGTTAGAGGTGTTCATTTGGCCTCCAAATTCTCCAGATCTCAATCCAATCTAGAATCTGTGGGATGTGCTGGAAAAACAAGTCCGATCCATGGAGGCCCCACCTCACAACTTACAGGACTTAAAGGATCTGCCACTGATGGCTTGGTGCCACTTACCATAGTATACCTTCAGAGGTCTAATGGAGTCCTTAACATGTCAGGGAGTTCAACACTAAAAATCAGCAGAACTCAGGGCCATCCTCATAATGAAGCAGCCTGAGGCGCTTGTCTCAGGTGGCATCTCATTGGGTCACGTGGGGTGGGGGGTAAGGGGGAACGGCAGGCATATCTTTCCTGCCAGAGGGTCCCAGGTTGCTCAGGGCTCTTAGCAATCTGTGATGCTCTGGCCAGTGTCACTGCCCAGCTTGTGGCAACCAGTAACATCAATTTGGGTGGGAAGACGGAGGTAAAACATGCCTCCCCTGTTTGGAGCACCACCAACAACCCCCAAACCCAGTTTTGTGCACTACCTACACCAGCACTCCCCCCACATCTCGTGCAACAGTTGGTCCATCCCCTCACCCCCTGCCTCAGACAGCATGGGGTCTAGGAACACCCCTGGCAGCAATGATCTCTCAACGCTGAAAACTCATGATGAGAAAGGACCCATTTACACTATTACATTGAACGTCAACCCAACACAATTCAAAGTTGCATTGCCAACAATGGTGCATGTACGGTGTTCAACACGTTAAAGTGTGTCGGCAGCCCATTCATTTCAATAGGCTGCCTTAACCCAATCCACGTTAACATGCGACATAACACGCATTGATGCACATGGATTAACGCATCGCAAACATGTAAATTGGCCCTTAGACTTTGCATCAAGCTGTGAGCTGTAGAGCAAATGCAAATGGCCAACAGGAGTGTAAATGCCAGATTAGGGATTTTCTGCTGCAGGAATCCCTAATTGCACCTAAACCTACAGATGTGAAAGGGGCCTTATTGTGAGTGTGTATTAGAGTCTGTAGTACCAAACCGGGCGGATATAGTTACATTTTATTTTAAAGTATGAAAATTGGCAAGCGGCCCCCAAGAGAGAAAAACATTTGTCGAGTGGCCCCCGGGATGGAAGAGGCGGGGGGCGAAGATGGAGGAGGCCGGGGCAGAGACGGCAACGGAGGAGGCGGGAGGCGTCGCCGGTGCTCCAGTCGGGCGGCGAAGATGACAAGGAGGCCGTGTCGGGCACGAAGGACAAGGAGGCCATCCAGTCGGGCATCGAGGACGAGGAGGCTGTGTTCCAAAGAGGTCAGGCCGTGCAAGGTAAGAGGACTGTGCTGGCAGAGCCCAGCATAGAATCTGCACAGCCCACCAAACAGTCTCAGGTGTGCTGTGCAATACCCTTTGATGGGCTCTGCAGGATCCATAGGGTGCTCTGCAGCCTGCAAAGCCAACCACAGATCCTGCACAACCCCCCTGAGATCCTGCAGACTGCATGATCTCAGCAAGATCTGTGGGGGGTTTTGCTGGGTCTCAGGGGGGCTCTGCGTGGTCTATGATGGGCTCTGCAGGGTCTCTGGTGGGCTTAGCAGCCTGAGACCCTGCAGAGCCCACCAGAGATCCTTCCCAGCCTACCTGAGACCCTGCAGAGCCCACTACAGACCCTGCAGAGCCCACCTGAGACCACAGCCGGGTGGGGTAAATTTAGTGGGGGGGGGCCCGAGTTTTGTTTTGCTTAGGGCAGCCCCAAACCAGAATACACCACTACCTACATCACTGAAGAACACAAAAGATGATGACCTCTTTAATAGAAGGTTACCCTGACTCAACTTCCTGTCATCCAAATGCCTGGATCACAACGTAAGTGCGTTCAGTGAGGAGCAAGGCTAAGAAACATTGATTGATAATTATTTCTTAACAAGGTCCGGGATGGAATGGGTAGCAGCTCCTTGGTGTCGTGCTCCCTTAACAATGGCCAATAAGTGTCAGTCATTATCTTAATGCTCTTCAGGATCTCCGAGCTTAAATATCAGCCACTTAAAGAGTAATGTGTGACAATGACAGGTCATACAATTGAAGAGAAGTCGGAGCTCGGGCCTAATTACAGCACTTAAGCGGGAGCGTGGACCTGCTTAGCCAAGGCATTGGCCTCACATAAAGTATCTAATATCCCTGGAAATTAAGCCATTAAGAGGAAAGCAGACTGACATCCCCGCTGTTTGTCAATGTAAAAATTAGGGATTAGCGCTGGACTTAATCTTATCAAAGACGTTGCTAACCCCTTCGTTCCCGCATTGTTTGCGGACCACAGAATCCAGCTTTTCCATTTTTAAGAGTGAATTCAATGAATGCCATCACCGGCTTGACATCCATGTGTGTGCCTCTATGGGTGACTGCAAGCTTGTATCAGGTGGATGTTCTAGAGAAGCAGCACAATCTAAGGGTTAGTGGAAGGTTCAGAAAGGGTTCAAGGTTTCGGGTACA